ACTTATATATTTTATTTCATCACTCATTTCTCTCTCCTCGTTAATATCTACACTCTCTTCCCTCCCAATTTCTCTATCTAATAATAATAATAATAATAATAATAATAATAATAATAATAATAATAATAATAATAATAATAATAATAATAAATCATTATATTCTACTTTTGCACGTACTTTCGTAGAGAAAACTCAAAACAACCAAACATATTCTCATTTCTACACCTATATAAAACTAGAAATACCACTTCATCCAAACATATTCCCATTTTCTACACAAAAACTAATAATCTACTTTTTCCATCAGAAATTTTGAAAACTAGAAAATCCCATTAAAAACATAACCAAACATCCCCTTTACCTTCCAACCTAAAAAGTCAATCAAAAGTCAAAACACAGACAAGACACTATTTATTAAATTTCATATTTTAATTGTTGAAATAATATTTGAAAAGATTTACAAAATTTATATGAGGCTCAAAATAATTAAATTTAAGTTCATATTGATAATATATAGTTAGGTATTTTGAGAAGATAAATAGATAATTATTATTTTTTTTATTTCTTTTAATAATTATTTAAACTGCAAGATGTGGCGTTTTTGTAATTTCAGAGTTTAGATTAAACAGTGTTAAGGTCAAATGTCTGACAACTAACATCGAGAGCCACATTAACACAATTTTTCAAGTACGGGGGGCAAATCAATTCCAATAAAAAATTAAAGAGGGTAAAGTAATATCGAGCCAAAATACAAGGGGAAAGTGAAATTTACCCTTATTTAATTTCTAAGACTAGGATAACAAAATAGGCATGCCAACACTATTACCTAGCCTAGTATTAAATTGAAGGCATGCAGCTATTTTATACTATAGTAGACAATTGCATGTTCTATATATATATATATATACCCCTGCCGTACAGGGGTGGCAATTTGCTCAACTTAGACCGGTACCGGTTTCCATCTCGGATCCATGTGGATCGGATCCGAGGTGAAAATAAGATAACGACATTTTACCAGTATATGATTTAATTTGTTATCATTAGCCGAAAAACGACAAAAAATCGTGTTCTAATTCATGTGATCATATTCTTCATTCAAGCTTAAACAGTGGGACAAAATCGAGACAAAAATGTATTCAAATGTCTCGTTTGATTGCCAATATGAGATTAACCAAGATAAAATTAAAATAATCTAATGAGGATCCAATTGTATTATGGAAGGTCCAATATACAAGGGCAAATTACGACCACCCCTGAACTATGGTCAAATTACGAAAAACCCTCCTCCTATTTGAATAATTACAATCACACTCTCTACTATATATTATCTGACAAAAATGCACCTCTAGAGGTAAATTAAGGGATGTTAAATCAGTAAAATCGAACCGAAATTTCGTTGCGCCAATATTTTATACCGTTTGCCGAACTGAATATACGATTTGATTCAGTAATATCAAAAAGTTAGTTTTACGGACATTATTATTTGTAACCTGATGAGGTAGTTGAACCAGGTCCGAAAATGAAACAAACTACTAAGCAAGGCTGTCCGAGAACACGTGTCTGCATCCCATTAACTAACTGCATATGGCAGTTGAATCGACTCTCAGTTCGCTGTCTTTTCGGTGTTTTTAGTTTATGGTTTTTGTTAGGTCGACCTACTTCTATAAGTTATGGTAATGATATATATATATATATATAGTGGCGGATGTAGCCATGGTCTAGGGTGTGCAGTTGCACACCCTTGATTTTCAGTAAATATTACTATTATACATAAAATAACAGAAAAGGCAGTTGGTTGAAATGGTAAAGATATGTCTTTTTTTATTAATAGGTCATGGGTTCGAAACCCACCCTCACAATAATGGAAATTTTTTGAAATCTTTTTTATTAACATTTTTCAACTTTTTGGTCTTTAAATATTTCCACAATTCACCTAAAATTTATAATTTATAAATTTTTGGTCCACTATTTTTATAAAGTGATATTTTAATTTTTTTTTCTACAATTTCGAACCCCCTTGGCAAAAATCCTGGATCCGCCACTATATATATATATATATTGGTGTAATGAATGGTGTTGGTAAAGCTGTATAAATAGGCAGTGTACATCTTTTTTGCCATAGCATGTGATGTTTTTCTTCTTCCTGTTTTACCATTTTGCCATTATCGTGTCAATTTTGCTGCTAGTGTTTAGTGTTAATTTTTTTTCTTGGAGACGAATGCAGATAAAATGTCTGTTTGAACTATGATAATTGGCAATTTAGCAACCAGCTACTTTCCAGCCAGTTTTCATGATAGTTTTATAAGGTTGCATTTGAATTTGAGGGGAAAAACAAATCAACACATCCTATGATATCATTAATAGAAACTTTTTTTTTTTTTTTAACCGAATTACATAAATTTTATGTAAAAATATTTAAAAGAAGGTATTACTGTAATTACCAAAACAATAGAGCTTTTTTTTCGTAGCTTGACCATACCTTAGGGCTTGACCGTAATATGCCCAATAAACAATCTCTAAAAGATATAAGCCAAAATAAACAAAGATAAAAGTATTATTTTTTGGTCAACCCGGATATTTATTGAATTTACTCTACCAAAAGTCAAACAAAGTCCAATTATTTAATTAATTATGGCTACGAAACCTAAAGAAAATATTGTTATTACCCAAACATTGAGAGAGATGAATTCGTAACACTAAAACCTCCATCCACAACCAAATTGCTCCCACTCACATACCTAGACTCGTCACTAGCTAAATACAAAACCGCCTGCGCCACATCCTCCGCCGTCAGATTCGACCCATCAAGATTCGAGTAAATATCAACCATCGGATCATCTTTATCTCTGCCCAAAGCCCCCCTCGACATTGGCGAAGCAAAAGCGTAAGGCGAGACGCAATTAACCCTAATCCCATAACGCCCTAATTCGACAGCCGTGTTCCTCGTCAGCCCTAAAACCGCGTGCTTCGAGCTCGTGTAAGCATGCGTGCATGCCCCACCAATAACCGAGCTCACACTCGCCGTGTTGATGATGGTCCCGCGGTGGGCCGGCTTCATGACACGGGCCGCGTGCTTGGTTCCTAGGAAGGTTCCGGTGATGTTGACATTAAGAACGCGCTCGAAGTCGGATTTGGTTTCTACGAGCATGTCTGTGTTCGTGGGCCCCATAACGCCCGCATTGTTGAACATGATGTCTAGCTTTCCGTGCTTGGAGATTGCTTCTTCGACAGCGTTTTCGACGTGGGATTCGTTTGTGATGTCGCAGTGGATGTACGATGCGGTTTGTGGGGATAGGGTTTTGCAGATCCGACGGCCGAGATCGTCTTGGACATCGGCTATCAAGATTTTAGCACCGTGCTCGTGGAAGAGTTTTGCGGTTGCGGATCCGAGGCGCCCGGCCCCACCCGTGATTAGGGCTACTTTCCCTTCCAATCTACCACCCAAAAAAAGAATCGAAAATAATAGTAATTACGAACATGATTAATTTTCAGCCATCTCATTTGTTAATTAATATATGTTATTAAGAATTGAGTAAGATCATGTTTGCTTGCTACTAACATACGTATTAAAAGCTCGACTTAACAGAAAATTAACAGCATTCGATCGACAAAGGGTACAAAAATTGACATGCATAAAAGCTAATAATTATCATTTCACAGGCGAAAAACATGATTTTTTATTTTTTATTTTTGTTTGTGATTTGTATATATGTAAGCTAGAAAATAGTCACAAAATTAAAGAATTTTATTATTGTGCTTACCTCTTAGCTACTGCAGATAGTAGTGAAGTGTTCGCCATCGGCTTAATTTGCTCGGACACCTTCTTCTTATCTTCAAAAGTACTTTTCTCTGAATGAAAAAGCACTTATCTCAACAGCTGTGGTGTGGTCACAATACATAATTTTCTACGATATTTATATAGGGTCTACACTAGTGACCAAATGATTTCTCTCGTCTCTGTCAGCAGTATTTTCATTCATTTTTCACTCCGATTTTTTAAAATTGATTATTTAAAAAAAACATTTTTCGGGCCGAGAAGCAAAAATTTGCACTAAATTCCAATTAAATTTCATTTAGGTTGCATGTATGTATCAGTCCACTATAGCTGATTATGACACATGCCAAACTATAGGAAAACGACATCTTACCCAATTTTCCTCTTACATCAAGATTCTCGATTTTACTAACGTCTCACGAAAACAGAATGCCTATGCAATTTTCGTGTTATAATGAAACAGCATAATTTTATTGCAGCAAAACTTAATTGATGGTAGGTAACAACTAATAGATTGTCAAATAATTAAAAATTTACGATCTAAAACCTCAACTTACGGCTGCGGAAGTTCTTCGAAACACGCACACTGTGGTTTTTCGGACATGACCCTCTTCCTCGTAAACCTTAAAAACCTGTACCAAATAATAATCTCGTATTAATTAATTAAAACCAATTATATAGCAAGAAGACGAGAACAATATATCTGCATTCTGTTTTTCTTTTTTTTCTTTTCTTGTGATACTAAATAAAACTCACTCTGCTTTTGAAGCTCAATGTATATGTTATCATACCGATGAAGCACGCATAAACGGGCCAAACGTACACCTGTCCAACACGATGCATACATAAAAATATAAAACGATTAATACAGAAAGCATGTAATAAATCGTCCAACGAGAATCAATCCTATGTCTTCACAAGTCCTTCCATTATATATATATTTATTCCACACACTGTTATGTTTTATAATTTACATCGAAACTATAATTACTTTTTACACATTTCAAGTATATATACATGTTCAAAACTCGTTTCCCTTTCTCGAAACTGTTCTTCAATATTTAGGGGATAATCTTTAACCAGAAATCTCTCGTGAAGAAAAAAATCAGTATCAGCAAAATCAGCACAACAAGAACCGCGAATAAGGACAAAGATCCACGTCTTGTCCGAGCACCGAAATCGAGGGAATCTTCGATCGGAATATCCTTTGCGGAAAATTTATGAATTTCGAAATTCTCTGGCTGATAAGATTCCACCCTTTGATTCCTTAGCCTGAGTCGCCGATTCGCTGTCCCCTGTGAAGATACTGAAGCTTCAGTTGATGGCTGATTCGACTTCATTTCGGATTTCTGTTTTAAGGTAACCACTCGTAGGGGTACGGCATTTTCGATCAACGAAGAATCTTCGTCTAACTTTATTATGTCATCTTTCATTATATCGGCATAACAATCCTCTTCCTTGTCATAACCCTGCAAGAAGAAAAAAAATCGAACAAATTATAATTACCAATTAATAAGCCTCGTTAAGAAATTTTACGATAGTAAATAAAAAATTCAAATCGATCCAAACGAACCTTATTGTGGCTCGATTCCGAGGACCCTTTAGTAATTTTATCATCAGATTCGGAACCATTATCAACTTGCTCCACCGAATGAGAATTGTAACTGCTACTGCACTCCTTTGCCCCTTCGAGCATACCTATTTGTTCACCACTGGATAAATTTACTTCCGCCAGATCCAAATCCCTATCGCCAGGCGAGTTCCTTCTTGCATTGTCATCGTTGAGATGAAAGTCCCTGTTCTTCCGAAGGCGACACACTACCATAGCATCCTAAATAAAGTAACCAGAAAAAAAATGTCGATTACGTTACGATCATTTATAACCATCTATTTGAACTAAAATAAAGTGAAATTTTTTACTCACATCGGATTTTTCGCTCGTACAATACTCGTGCATTATCCATTCGGTCCTTTGCCCTTTCGGGGCCCGGCCCGTATGGAACACTAGAGTCCTCTTTGTTCCGATCAGATTCGAGCCCGATTTTACACCTCGCTCTTTCCCGGTTGCTTTCCAGTAACCGAATTCGGTCGCCCTTTTACTTTGGGACCCGTTCGGGTACTTCCTTCCCCGGGGAGAAAAGAAGAACCACTCGTTGTCCGATTCGATCACAGCTTGAGCTGATTTCGGGTTCAATCAAGTACATATTATTCCTTAATCCCAATCAAAAAATGCAGCTAAATAAATTTCGAAAGCACAAACTACAACCCTCATCGAATCTCCATTATCACACACATATATGCATATATTTACAGTAAAAGAAAATTGTCTGAAAATTAAAGGAAAAAAAAGGGGGAACCTGGTAAATCCCAAGGCTCGTGTCTACAAATATCAACCTCGGGAATAACTTCAACTTCTTCATCAAACCCTAGAAGCTTCTTCTTCAGATAATACTGAATCAATTCCTCGTCGGTCGGAGAAAATCGGAAACCGGGAAACAGAGAAGAAGCTTCTGCTAAAGAAATTTCCATGGAGATATTATTACCAGCGTTTCTTGAAACCGGAAAAGTAACCAGCTCTGCCTCATTGTCTGCACCCATCTCTTTTCAATTTTCAACAAAATTAAAGAAACCCTTTTTCAGCACGTTTCTGAATTTAATTTTTTTTTTAGAGGGGATGTGTTCTTGCGAAGAAAAGAACAGATTCTCAGGTGAGAAATTTCACCAAGTTTCCATTTTTTTTTTTTTTTTTTATTGTTTTTGAGTTTCTGTGAAGCTATTCTTGGTTGGGGGGTTTGAACGTGAAGATCACGTGACGGGGGGCGAGATGGCACGTGTCGATTGGCTTCTGACGTTACTTGTTTCGCATGCATTGGTTGTGCCTGTACCAGTCTGAACGACGTAAGACAGGGGATTACTGTTGGTGGAGTTGGATTTTAGGGTACAATTGCAAATACCACCCTAATGTAACACATAATTACGAAAAAGGCACTCATCTTTGAATAATTACATATATACCCCTAAAATTAACGGTGGTTCAATAATTAATCGTCTTAATTTTAATTAATTAATCAGCCGTAAATTCCTTCAATTTGTCAAACAGAAGAAAGACTGAGAGAAATGGAACTGTCAATGAAGAGCCAATTCTTTGCCGAGGTTAAAATGGGGGGCCGACGCCTCCGTTCCGACCATACGCGCCACCGTGATTCAGGCAGCGACCGTCGTCTACGATTCACCCGCCACTCTAGGTTAATTCCATTTTTTTCTTACTTTTTTTTTTATGTCTCTTTCCTGTTCGTTCAAATGCCTAGCTGAATTTATGCTCCATTTTCACTTGTTTAATTGAGAAGCAAAAAGATTCCAAATTTGGGTATATTGTGAAGTAAAAGGTTCAGCAATTGGGTTTGTGAAGACACATGCTTACAAGATTCTTACAGAAAGATGGCAAATTCAGATTATAATATTACAGAAATCAACAAAATCTTCATTACCAATTCAGTAAAATAGAGATAAACAAATCGGTCTTAATAAATAAATAATATCCATTGTGCTAAGTGTGTATCTGCATTATTTTACAAGCAACTCCATTGGCTTATTACTAAAAAGACCAAGACCATGTATTTCTTGTATTTCTTTTAACATTTTGATTTATCTTTCTTGCTTGCTCGCCTTCCTCTTCATCGCGGCCAAGTTGGAAAAACGACGACATTTACAAAAATTGACTAATGCAAACATTTTGAACTGAGATAAAGTCAATGTGTTTTTATTTTTCTAAATACGAAAAAGTCTACAAGTCTATTGTAATAGCACATTTGATGCTGATGGAATCATTCTTAATGGCTTAAAATATATCCTTCGTTGATGAAATATATACTTGCAATACAAACACATCTCTATTTTCTCCTCTGACTTTTGTTTCTCATCCTTGTTTTTCTCTTTAAGAAATTTCCCAGTTTTCTTTCATTGGTTTTATACTGATCCGATAATTTAATGTATGTTAATTATGTGAATATTGTCTGTTCTTTGCCTGATTGAAAAGTTTTTGCATTCCGTTTTCCAAGATTTCACTTTTATTTATTGTAAAGCGTCTAAGTTAATAATCCGAAGTCATGTGTATGGCTGTTGGTCTTTTTGCAGACAAGTTTACCGAATTTAATGGAAAATAACGCACTTGAATTTGGTGATGCGGGGGGCTCGTCTTCAGCTCCAAGTGAGGTGGTTAAGACTATAGTATTGGTTGGAAGAAGGGGTAACGGGAAAAGTGCAACCGGGAATAGTATACTTGGAAGAAGGGCGTTTAAGTCAATGTTGAGAACTAATGGTGTTACCAAAACTTGTGAGATGCACACAACTTTACTTGAAGATGGGCTGAATCTTGCTGTGATTGATACTCCAGGTACATAATATGCATTTTACAATATCATTTTCTTTAGATACGTGTGAGTGTGACTGATGAACTAATTAATGCAATTGCCACAGGATTAATGTTTGATTGTTCCGCTGAATCAAAATATGTTGGGAAGGAAATTGCTAAATGCATCAATTTGGCTAAGGGTGGTATACATGCTATTCTTCTTGTTGTGTCAATTAAGACGGATTGTTCACGAGAAGAAGTAGCTGGTGTGTTTATGTTGCAGGCATTTTTTGGAGCCAAAATTATTGACCATATGATTGTCGTTTTCGTCGGTGGTGATGAGCTTGAAGAATATGATAAACCTCTCGATGATTACTTGAGTCGTGATTGCGACCATCACTTGAAGGTGCATATCTCATTGCGCACTCTTCATTTAAGTCTCTTAATATTTATTTACATGACATATATATTATAAAGTCCAATAAGAAATAGTTACCTGTTAAATCTCATTGCTCTTCTTTTAAGGCCTCGTTTGGTTGGAGATATTAGTCTTAGACTATGTTTGATGGTTGATAAATCCAATAATTTTTCCGCTCGACCCAAAATTATTATTTTGTCATGGCCTATCTACATAGGCCTCGTTTGGTTGGGAAAATTAGCCATGAGTAACTAATTAGATTTTCTTTGATGTTTGGTAAACCCAATAACTTCCCAGATCGAACCGAAAATATCATGCCTTTTAGGGAGTTTTTTAGTGGACCTTTCGAGGTCCAATAAAATAATCGGGTTTAATTTTATGAATTACCATGATGCTTGTCATTTATTTTCTCTTTGACTTTCCAATAATATTGTTCAGATTTCATAAGGTCTGTGGTTTTGACATAGGAAACCCTGAGAATGTGTGGGAATCGGTGTGTTCTCTTTAATAACAAAACAAAAGATGAAGTCCAAAAACCTGAACAATTGAAGCAACTTCTTGCCTTAATAAATGAGATTGTAGATAAAAATGGTGGAAACCCGCTCATGCATAAGCAAATTGTTGAATTGACGGTAAGTTTCGTTGATCACCATGTGTTGTCGTTTTCTTTCTTTTTATACCCCCCGTTTTGCACAAATTTGTTACAGTGCGTAAGTTAATCATCAATTGTAGACAGGAGCGAAAAGCGAATTCTTTTACGATGCTCCAGTTGCTAAAGTTAATTTCGAAGAGGAGAAATTTAAATTGGAGGAGGATTCACATAAGTCGTTGAAGGAGGAGTTGCAGAAGTCATTGAAAGAGGAGTTACAGAAATCGTACGAAGAGCAGCTTAAGAAAATAACTGAGACGGTAGTTTAATTTTTTTCTGATATCATACATTTAATTGGTGCATAATTCACCATAAACCACCATGCTATACGATATGACATGCATGGATGTGTAGGTTGATTTAAAGCTAAAGGAGAGCTCTAATAAACTTGCACAACAAATAGCAGAGTTAAAGCTTAAAGAGAGCTCTGATAAGCTTGCACAACAAATAGCAGAGTTAAGACTTAGGGAGAGTTCTGATAAGCTTGCCCAGAAAACAGCAGAATTAAGGTTTAAAGAGAGCGTTGATAAGCTTACACAAGAAATAGCAGAGTTAAAGCTTGCACAACAAACAATAGAGTTAAGGTCTAAAAAGAGATGTGATAAGCTTGTACAACAAATAGCAGAGTTAAAACTTATGCAGAGTTCTGATAAGCGTGCACAAGAAATATCAGAGTTAAAGCTAAAAGAGAGCTCTGATAAGCTTGTACAACAAATAGTAGAGTTAAAGCTTAAGCAGAGCTCTGATAAGCTTGCTCAACAGTTAAGGTCTAAAGAGAGCTCTGATAAGCTTGTACAAATAGCAGAGTTAAAGCTTAAGCATAGCTCTGATAAGCGTGCACAAGAAATATTAGAGTTATAGTTAAAAGAGAGCTCTGATAAGCTTGTACAACAAATAGCAGAGTCAAAGCATAAGCAGAGCTCTGATAAGCTTGCACAACAAACAATGGAGTTAAGGTGTAAAGAGAGCTCTGATAAGTTTGTACAACAAATAGAGCTTGAGCGGGGCTCTGATAAGCGTGCACAACAAAAAGCAGAGCAGGAAAACATTCGACTCAAGCCAGAAACTGGGGCTCTCTCTGCTCAATTGGAATTCAGTGATGATATAAAAAGGCTGGGATGGGAGTTATTAGTGGCTGCTCGTATAAGGAAGACTGAGAATCAGAGACAGCAGCAACCTCAAATAGAAGTAAGCCCATGTGCAGCTTATCTATCTATATTCTTTAAAAATCATTTCCGGCATTTAATTTGAACACTTATGTGTGTTTGCTTCTTGTTTTGGTATATTTCTTTACACTCCTGCATGCATATTTTTGGGGTTCAAATTAATTAAAGGTACTAGGATTGATTCTTTAATGTTTTCGGTATTATACATTTTATTTGTGCATAAACATCAAACCACCATAAATATGATATGCAATATGCGTGCTGTTTTATATATACATATATTTGTATAGGTTGAGCCGCCAAAGATAAAGGATGAGCTTGAACAAAAAATATCAGAGCGGGAGAAGTTCATAAAGGAATTTTACGGGATTAGTGGTCCGAACTCAAGACCTCAAGTATACTAATTTGCGTCAATTTAAAAAATGTTTTGTCACATTTTCTGTTTGATACTTTCTTTAAGCGAGTCCTGCATGCTGGGGTTGAATTGTAAGGTAATAGAGTTCATTTATGTTTGATACTTTCGTTAAGCAAGTGTGTATATGTATTGTGCTGACGAATGTGTGGCTATAGTAGTGGATGAATAAACCGTTGTTATTTGCACTTTTACCGGGGTTTTTTTTTTTTTTTTTGGTTTGGCCATTTTCGACTTATGAGTAGTTGTCTAATGTATATATCGAAATTGATACTTCTTGGTATAAATTCAATATTTTGTTAAATTTTATGATTTATTCGAATGCATAAATAATTCTCAACTGTCAATGAAGAGCCATTCTTTGCTGAGGTTGACATGGGGTTCGACCGCCGACGCCTCGGCGCCGACCATACGCGCCACCGTAGTTCAGGCAGCCACCTTCTTCTACGGCACTCACGCCACTCCTGGTTATTGCCATTTCTTTCTTAGTCTCCTTTATGCCCCTTTCCTGCTCGTTCAAATGCCTAGATGAATTGTATGCTCCATTTTCACTTGTTGAATTGAAAAGTGAAAAGATTCCAAAATTGGGTATATGGGTATTTTATCCTTTTTGCCCTTTTTTCTCGAATTAAATTTGAATTGTTAAGTACAAGATTCCGCAATTGGGATGTGGAGACCAAGAACATGTACAGTTAAACCTCTATAAATTAATACAGTCGGTACGAAAGTTCTATTAATTTAGCGAATTATTAAATTATCGAATTAATAATTTAACACGTTTTCACCGAGTCGGGACCGAGACAAACTATCATTTAATCGAGATTATTAATTTATTGAGTATTAATTTATCGAGATTCTGCTGTATTATTATTGTTTAGCAAGCAACTTAACTCCATTGGCTTATTATTAAAAAGACCAAGACCACTTCAGTCTTGTATTTCTTATAACATTTTCATTTATCTTTCTTGCTTGCTTGCTGTTCTTCTTCATTGTGGCCAAGTTGTGAAAAACGATGACTTTTACAAATATTTACTAATGCAAACATTGTCCAGGTCTTTCCTTTTGAATTCAGACAACTTCAATTTATTTATTTTTTCTAAATACAAAAATACCACAAGTCTATTTGTATTAGCGCATTTGATGCTGATGGAATGAATCATTCTTAATGGCTGAAAATGTATATTCCTTAGTCGAGAAGAATTATCTTGCTCGTGCATTTTTTCAGCTGCATATAAATTATAGTCCCAATATATGTACTTGCAATACAAACATATCTTCATTTTCTGCTCTGACTTTCGTTTCTCATCCTTGTTTTTATCTGTAAGAAATTTCCCAGTTTTCTTTCATTTGTTTGATAATAATCCGATAATTTACTGTACGTTAATTATGTGAATATTGTCTGTTCTTTGCCTGATTGAAATTTTTTAGCATTCCGTTTTCCAAGATTTCACTTTTATCTATTGTAATTCGTCTAAGGTAATGATCCTACGTCATGTGTATGGTTGTTGGTCTTTTTGCAGACAAGTTTACCGAATTTAATGGAAAATAACGCACTTGAATTTGGTGATGCCGGGGGCTCGTCTTCAGCTCCAGCTGAGATGGTTAAAACTATAGTATTGGTTGGGAGAAACGGTAACGGGAAAAGTGCAACGGGGAATAGTATACTTGGAAGAAAGGCATTTAAGTCGATGTCTAGAAATAATGGTGTTACCAAAACCTGTGAGATGCACACAACTTTACTTGAAAATGGGCAAAATCTTGCTGTGATTGATACTCCAGGTATACCTATATGCATTTTACAATATCATTTTTTTTTAAATATGTGTGACTGATGAACTAATTAATAGCAATTGCCACAGGATTAATGTTTGATTGTTCCGCTGAATCAAAATATATTGGGAAGGAAATTGCTAAATGCATCAATTTGGCTAAGGATGGTATACATGCTATTCTTCTTGTTGTGTCAATTAGGACCGACCGTTCAAGAGAAGAAGAAGCAGCTGTTGTGTTTATGTTGCAGGCATTTTTCGGAGCCAAAATTATTGAGCATATGATTGTAGTTTTTGTCGGTGGTGATGAGCTTGAAGAATGTGATGAAACTCTTGATGATTACTTGAGTCGCGATTGCCACCAACACTTGAAGGTACAAATCTCATTGCGCGTTGTCCAATAAGAAATAGTTGCATGTTTACGTATTTGATTTGTTTCTTGTGAACACGGGTTTTATGAGTTAAACCATGATGCTTCTTGTCTTGTTATTTTAAGTGAGAAGTAACTCAAATTATTTATTGAAAAAAAATTAAAAAGTGATATATATTGTGTGATAGTGAGAGAGAATATATATAAAAAAAAATAATGAACTAAAAAAAATATATATATTTAAGAGTTATATATATAATGTATTGATTTCTTAAAAAATATCGATAGAGTGTTTTTTTTTTTTTTGGTCCGCCACCAATAAAAAGTTATTTATTGAAAAAATATCCACCGCACGATAATATTTTTATATTTTAAAATATAGTATTTTTCAATAGAATTTTTTTGTTGTATAATTTATTTATTTTTTTAGTTCTTCCTTTCAACAAAACAAGTTTTTTCGGTGTTTATATTTAAAATACAAATAAAATTGTGCGCGAGGGGGGTGAGTGTGACAAATGATACTTTAAGGGGGTGAGAGTGACAGAGTGTATACTTTTGGGATATATATATATATATATATATATATATATATATATATATATATATATATATATATATATATATATATATATATATATATATATATATATATATATATATATAATATTACATGCATGCATGTGTAGGTTGATTTAAAGCTAAAAGAAAGCTCTGATAAGCTTGTACAACAAATAGCAGAGTTAAAGCTTAAAGAGAGCTCTGATAAATTTGCACAACAAACAGCAGAGTTAAGGTTTAAAGAGAGCTTTGATAAACTTGCACAAGAAATAACAGAGTTAAAGCTTGCACAACAAACAACAGAGCTAAGGTCTAAAGAGAGTTGCGATAAGCTTGTGCGACAAATAGAACAGTTAAAACTTAAGCAGAGATCTGATAAATTTGCACAAGAAACAGCAGAGTTCGATCTGAACGAGAGCTCTGATAAGCTTGAACAACAAATAGCAGAGTTAAAGCGTGCACAACAAACAACAGAGCTAAGGTTTAAAGAATATTGTGATGAGCTTCTACAACACATAGAGTTAAAGCTTAAGCAGATCTTTGATAAGATTACACAAGAAATAGCAAAGTTAATGTTGGGTGTACAACAATAGAAGAGTCAAAGCATAAGCAAGGATCTGATAAGCTTGCACAATAAACAGCAGAGTTAAGGTCTAGAGAGAAATTTGATAAGCTTGTACAACAAATAGAGCTTGAGCGGAGCTCTGATAAGCGTGCACAATAAAAAGCTCTGCTCAATTGTAATCAAGTGATGATATAAAAAAAGCTGAAATGGGAATCTTTAGTGGCTGCTCGTCGGAGGGAGACAGCAGCAACCTCAAACAGTAGTAAGCCCATGCAGCTTATCTATATTCTTTAAAAATAATTTCTGGCATTTAAATTGAAAATGTATGTGTGTTTGCTTCTTGTGTTTTGGTATATTTCTTTACACTCCTGCATGCATATTCTTGGGATTCAAATGATTGAATTTTGTTTGATTCTTTAATGTTTTCGATATCATACATTTAATTTGTGCATAGACATCAAACCACCGTATATGCGATATGCGATATGCATCTGTTTTACATATATAGTGTGAGCCGCCAAAGATAAAGGATGAGCTTGAACCAAAAATATCACGGGAGAAGTTCCTAAAGGAATTTAATGGGATTAGTGGTCCGAACTCGAGACCTCAAGAATGTCCTGTTATGTAGTTAACTTTTAGGTATACTAATTTTGCGTCAATTTAAAACCGTCAATGTTATAAAACCGATGTCTTATCACATTTCTGTTTGATACTTTCGTTAAGCAAGTGTGTGTATGTATTTGTGCTAACGAATAAACCTTTGTTATTTGCACTTTTACCGGGGTTTTTTTTCGTATGGCCATTTTCGACTTATTTGAGTAGTTATCTAATGTATATATCGAAATTGATACTTCTTGGTTTAAATTCAAAATTTTGTTAAATTTTATGATTTATTTGAATGCATAAATAATTTGCAAAAAATCTTGTAGCTTCTTTAATAAGAATATTGTGAACTCTTATATCCTAAATCCTGGATTAAAAAAGTACAAATCACTCCTAGTAGAGAATTTATCCCAATAAAAGAAAAGGAAAAAATAAATAAAAATAACTGATTATTGATACAATACAACTGAAGAAAACCTGAAACCACCCATCATTTATCTGGAAAATATATTTTCTTTTTTACATCATTAATTAAAATCTTCAAACATTTTCTAGAAACCTCTGGTCCGAATCTTGATTTTTTAACCAGCCGCAGAATTCCTTACAACCTTGTGACAATTTCACATACATCAATTTCTCGAAGAGAAGAAGCGACTGATCCAGTAGCAGAAAGAGCGAGAGGGATGGCTTTAGCTCCAACTTCAACCATCGATGATGGCCCATTGTTTGCTGAGGTTGAAATGGGGGCCGACGCCTCCTCTCCGACCATACGCGCCACCGTGGTTCAGGCAGCCACCGTCTTCTACGACACTCCCGCCACTCTTGGTTTACTTCCCATCTCTTTCTTTCTTTCTTTCTTTTATGCCTATTACCTGTTCGACAATATGTCTAGCTGAATTTATGCTCCATTTTCGGCTGTTGAATTGAAAAAAGGAAAAGTCGGAAGATATCAAATTGGTGTTTGGGATTCTTATTTTGAATTTTCAAGTGCAAGATTCTTACAGAAGTATGGCAGCTTTGAATTATATTAAAGGAATCAACAAAAAAATTCATTACCAATCCAGTCTTTGTGAACAATTTTCTACTAGAAGAAATCTTCGGTTCACATTTGTTGTTCTCTGGACATCTGGAACAAATTGCAACCCAACAGTTAGTTGTGTGAACAAAATCGAGCATTAATCATTTTCCGATAAAGAGCATTAATTAATCCACACTCCCTGTCATTCCAAATGAGTCCAAGAACAGCATTGATATTGCTGTTGAACCATCTACATTGTGGGAACTCCGAATAACCTAGGTTTGAACAGGATGTTTGTTCGTACAAGGATTAGAACAAAAGGCGATATACGTATTTCATGGAACACAAATTATGTTCAGAAGGGGCGAACATGCTCGTATATTTCATGTTTTTTATTTTTCAAAATATTTCTTAATGTTGCTAATATTCCATGCAAGGTGTTATATTCTTCTTCTTTCTGTTTGTTTATAATGCGCTAGATGATCACGGGAAATTATGAAACTGATAAACCAGGCTCGAGAACACAAGGATTTGTGTTAAACGACAATTGTTTGTATCGAGCCTTTAGGTGGTTATTTCTATTATCTAATTCTATTAGCACATGAAAGAAATCGATTTATAATACAACATTGAAGTGATATTTATATGCCTTTTTGTTTTATCTATACAAAATTTCTTCTCATGGTCATTTGTATACGTGGAATCGTAACTTTTTCTTTTTTGTTTTTCTTTTTGGTGTTATTTTTTTCAGATAAAGCTGAGAGACTATTGGCTGAAGCAGCCTCATATGGTTCGCAGTTAGTTGTCTTTCCCGAAGCATTCATCGGTGGGTACCCACGTGGATCAAATTTCGGTGTCACAATCGGTAACCGCACAGCCAAGGGTAAAGAGGACTTTCGGAAATACCATGCTGCTGCTATTGATGTTCCGGGTAAGTACATTTTTCGATTGTCTAATATTTTTTTTTTTTGGCAATAAATTAGTATTGATTGAAAACATAAAATCGATTAGCTAAGTTATTTTTTTTTCTCAGGTCCTGAAGTCGATCGGTTGGCTGCTATGGCCGGAAAATATAAGGTGTATTTAGTGATGGGGGTTATAGAGAGAGATGGATATACGTTATACTGTACGGTTTTATTTTTCGATTCTCAAGGTCGTTACCTAGGAAAGCATAGGAAACTCATGCCGACTGCATTAGAGCGAATTATTTGGGGATTCGGTGACGGATCGACAATTCCCGTTTTCGAGACACCTATTGGCAAAATCGGTGCTGCTATTTGTTGGGAAAATCGAATGCCCCTTTTAAGGACAGCAATGTATGCTAAAGGTTGGTTTTTTTTTAACCTCGATACATTCGACAATGAATTTCTTTTATTCGAAAATATTTATTTAATTCCCCCACATTTACAGGTGTCGAAATATACTGTGCGCCTACAGCAGATTCTCGAGAAGTGTGGCAAGCATCGATGACTCACATTGCCCTCGAAGGCGGTTGTTTCGTTCTATCGGCCAATCAGTTCTGCCGAAGAAAAGATTATCCACCGCCACCGGAATATTCATTCGCTGCCACTGAGGAAGAACTTATGCCCGATTCTATTGTTTGCGCTGGCGGCAGCGTCATCATTTCTCCGTCCGGAACTGTATTAGCAGGTCCTAACTACGAAGGGGAGGCACTCATAACCGCCGATTTAGGTTCGTCACTTTGAAATTTTATTATCTTTAATCATACCATTATTTAAAAAAAAAAAATCTGATATACGAAATTATTCGATGGAACAGATATTGGAGAGATTGTTCGAGCGAAATTCGATTTCGATGTGGTCGGGCATTACGCGAGGCCTGAAGTACTGAGTCTGGTTGTTAAGGATAATCCCATGACTCCATTTTCTTTCACTTCAGCATCTGTTAAGGCAGAAAGCTCTCAGAAGTGACTTTGACTTTGGCTGAACAATCTCATTTTATTTTCTTACAGTTCCGTTGACTAAATACGAGGTTTTTATCTATTAAGGTTGACTTTGATGTGTGAGTTACTTTTAAATTTACATACTTTGGAAAATTGTAGCATATAAATTAATTCAAATAAAACACATCTTAATCACTTGCAATTATCTTGATAGTGGATGTAATAATTGAGTGTTTGTTCTTGTCATGGAATTATTGGCCAGTAGAGAATTTTGCAGTTGGCAGAATATGAGAAAGAATTAAGATTAACTCTAAATTCCAACCAATAAGAAATAAGAATTGATGGCAATAAGCACCACAAGAAAAGCCCAAATAAGATATAAACAATATCTAAGGTGAGAAAACTCCAAATATGAAGAATCGTACACTCCGAGAGACCTGCAGAAAAGAGTGTCGGATAAGGGTTTTCTTTCGTTAGCATTCCAACGATCACATCAGTCAGAACCGTGAAAAAATAATGTAAGTGTGATTATAGAAATATGATAAGAATGTGTGTATTAGGAGATACCCAGGGGAGAGAGAGAGAGAGTCCTTCTCGTGTGCTCCAAGATTGTATTTAATATAATGGTGGGCCCCGGTTTTCTATCTTCGTCAAATCACATGTGGAGTGATGTGAGTATGTGACTGCTACGAGTTGCGTTTGTCTGCTTAACGAATTACCGAGTCACGAATTAAAAATAATAATCAATAGAAAGATGCCTTGCTTCTATTGTCTTCAACCTATAATTGGACCAATTGCAACATGGCAACACAAATATTCCCCTTGAAAATCTAAATTAACTTTTTTTCTTTTTTTCTTTCTTTCTTTTTATCAAGACGTTTTTCTCAAATGTCATTTTCTTTAATTTGTAGTTATGCTAATCAAGTGCACCAAATAAAATAGAGTAGGAAATGATGCTTCCACATGCGACAATCATTCTTCGAATAAGTAGTGCAATCCATTATAAACTCATCATATTAGTGTAAGAAGATCACTACAATCATGAGTGCCATAAAATATTTTATCATAAGTTGGTGGCAATCGGAATAAAATTTCTAATTATCACTTATTTCGATTAAAAATTTCAATTTTGAAATAATATATTTTTTTATTCTGACAAATTAAGTATTTCTTTTTCTATTTTTTTAACGGAATTGGATAATCTATTTCTTTTTTCTTATGAAAAAAGAAACGATTTTCTCTAAAAGTACTAATTTCCTCGTCCGATTCATTCGATTTTCACCTATGCTCCAAAGTCGCATAATAAATTGAAACTTTTATTGAACCTTTGAATCCCATTACAAAGCCTACAAGTTGTAGGTTATAACAGCTGTAATGGGCAATGATATGAGTGCATGTGGTGTAAGTGTAAATAATCCAAAGACAAGTTATTTATAATTGCAATAGAATTGTTTTTAGACAACATATGTGTGGTGTCAGCCAGAACACAGTCAACCCCTATTATTATTTCTTTTATGTTTTTATCAACAAACCATGTGTAGGAACAAATTAATTTTTGATGGGATTTTAGGAATATTTCAATTCTTGAATTTTATTCATTTTTTTTATTATTTATTTCAAACAAATTATTTTTTGATGGGATTTTAGGAATATTTCAATTCTTGAATTTTATTCATTTCTTTTTCGAATTTTATTTATTTATTCATGTTAAAAGTTAGGACATGTGACAAATGATTAGATCAAAATTGAAAAAATAAAAATAAAATAAAAGAAATGCAGTGCCATACTTTTTTGTATGATTGAGATCTTATTATGGTGCAGGCTGTTCTGACACTTCAATAGTATTGTAAGACTTAGTTCTCTTCACTTTGACTTTAAGGGGAAAAAAAGAAAAGCTAAAAGCTGAGAAGTTATTGCAGTCAGAAGTTAATTTCAGTAGCAGCTTAAAAAAGCTCAGAAAAACTTTTTGACAAGTGAGGAGCAATCCCTTTCAGACATAATTCAGGAGTTGCATTATGACATATACTTAAATAACATGGGACCATCAAAGAATTAGTACATGTACCATAATAATATTTAACATTTATTTGCAAATTGTGAATCAAAGAAAAAAAGTCCTGTAAATAGTATATAACACAAGGACGAAAATTGTAAAAAAAAAAAATTGGTTAATTGTGGACCAATAGAAAAAATTTAAGGACCAAAATTGAAAAAGTTGTATAGTATAGGGACTAAAACTGTAATTATCCCTATAAAACATATATAATATAACACTTTAATTGCTTGCTTACTTGCAGAAAGCAGCATAATTTATACAGTTAATAAATATTTATGTAAAAATAAATTATAAAAAAAAAAAAAAAAAAAAAAAAACCAAAATTATGTATGCTAGCCTTCACATACCACTTCTTTAGGATCTTTTGAAGAAACACTTTGTTGAGTTGAAGCCATTTTCGAACCCGAAACGATATGGTCTCGAAGATTTTTAATCATATTATATCTCTCGATTTCGTCCTCGCTTTCCTTCTTCCACGGCTTCGATTCGAATTCAAACACTCCCCTCCTATCAAAAACATCCAAACTATCTTCCTTATTATTATTAGTGGTAAATTCCCATTCTACCCCTCCTTCCAACCGTACTTCCGATAAAGAAACATTCGGTTTTTTAACCTTCTCCAAAACGGGCTTTCTCACTTTACTACCTCTATCAACCGAATTCCTCTTCGATTCTTTCTTCACACCATCACTCCATCCAAAGCTCCATCCAAAGCTCTTGCTCGTAACATCCATGTTCAATTCAATCGAATGAAGATCACTATCATCATCCTCGTCATCGTCATCATCATCATCCACGTCATCGTCGACCACTTCACCATACGGGCCCGAAGCGGGGCCCGGCAAAGTCTCCCTCAAATATTTCTCGAGCTCCTTAATTTTATCATATCTTGGGGAACAATCATCATCAAGAACTCGTTCTTCATTGTTGCCTCTCTTTGACTTCAAATATTCTTCGAGCTCGTTTCTTAAATGATCAACGAGCGCGTTTTTCTCCTCGAATTCATACTTAGCTTCCGAGAGCTTCATTTGAACCCTCTCCTCTCGAATTACGTCGGCCAATTGGAGCATTTCCCGCTCCTTTTCAACTTCTTCACGGGCTTTTTCCGATTGCCTTTTCATCTCCTCCACCTCAGCCCTGTCTTCCCCAATGCCACGGGCCAGCTCATCGCACACCTGCTCCAATATCTCGCGGGCCCGTTTTTCCGCCTCGAGAGATGCTTTTGTCTCGGCCAATTCTTTCCCGAGTTTCTTACTCAGCCTCTCGCTCTGCCGCCTAAGCTTCCGCTCGGTTTCCATCTCTCCGGCTATGCAATTGATTGCGCTGCGAATTCTGTCTTGTTCCTTCAATTTCCAGACGATTTTTTCCTCTTCAAACTTTTTCGTTAGAAGTTCGATCTCAGTCCGGTTTGTCCGGTTTTCTTGGATTAGTTTGCTGACATGGACGCATGCTCGGTCGAGCTCGAATTTGAGGGCGGAGAAAAGGGATAAGCTTGTGGAGTTTTCTTGCTCGAATCGGCAGATTCGGCTCATTATTTTGAGCACCTCTTTCGAAGTTACTAGACCGTTGTACACATCTTTCAGATGGTTCTTCGCTCCGTTTATGTGCCTGTGTGGACTCTGTACATGTGTTTTCATCTGATCAACCTGCATAATTAACAATCATTTTCAAGAAACATGAAAACAGCCAATAGTGGGAAGATTTTTTATTTTTTTTACATCGAAAGAATCTGTAAATTGCACGACAAAAACGTTAACGTTTGAGTGATTTGTTTGACATGTCGATAAGGAGACAGGCCATAGAACATGTTGGGTTTTGGTGTGGTGTCTGTTCGTAATAAAACCGGACAAATTTTCTATGTCCCATCTTGCAACAAAGTGTTTTTGTCCATCTCTTACCCCATAAGTAGCTCCAAAACCAATAAATAGTGCACTAAACACACATTTAATTAGCGAAAAGACATCGAGGCTGTTCTAAATTCTACATAATTTAACTAAAGCAAAAAAACCCGATTCGCAGATGTTAGAAAAGTCGCTTTCTTGATCGTAAAACAAACCAAATTCTTGATTTAATCTAACGGTGAAATTCGACTGCGAATAGAAATAACTGTGCTAAATGATTTTAACTATTCGGACAAGATTATAAAAACGAACGATATTAGTACAATATTTAAAAGCTAATCATAATTCATAAACAATACCTCAACAAAGCAATCTGCCTGCAGAAGTTTCTGCGAACCGGCTGATACTCTTCGTCTATGGCTGGCTACTTTCGGTAGATCCATTCTCTGCAAAATTCAAAAATAAAAAAAAATAATTAAAATTAAAACAATATCAAGAATCAGACAACTTTGTGTCCGATTAAAACACGAAAATCCTACCTCAGAAACAGGACTATGTAATAGATCAGACAAAACAAGAGCCATTGAGCCCAATTTCGACTTCTCCAAAATTCTCTCTTTCCTAACATATCCTAATTCACTTATTTCTTCCCTTTTCGCCCTCGGCGAAGGCAAACCATCAATCTCCCACAGAGTTGCCGCCAGTTTCCGGGCCGAAACCGACAACTCCTTGCCCCTGTCGCCGCCGCCGCCTTTCGCCACCAAATTCTTGAACCCCTTATCGTTTTCCGGCGAAGGTGATTTCGAACTCATCATTTTCCACCTAGGCACAGGGGTGCTTGATCCCACTCTTTTCCCAACTAAAATCGCCCGCTTTAAACGGTAATTATGCGCTAACGACGACGAAGAAGACGAAGAACAACCCCTCTTCCTCACTTTGCAATTTCTTCCTCCAATTTTCCCATCAACAATATTTAACTTCTGCCTCGGCATAATCTCCCACTACAAACCTATATGTTTTTTTTTCTTTTAGTGTTTTATTGTGTTATTTCTATACCAGACAATGTATTATTCATCAAGACTCAATTTTTAATACACAGAAACAAAAGCAAAATCCCAAGAATCACTCAAATTATTAAAAAAGAAAAAAACCCAGAAGTTTAAGCAGATCTGAAAGCGAAAATTAGATTGATCGACCTCTCTCTTTTGAGGGGGGCAACTTTGAAATGAGTGTGGAAGATTGTTGTTATGTTCTAAAAATGCTTTAAATCAGTCAAAAAAAAAAAAAAAGAAAGAGGAAAGAGAAAGGGGGGGTTGGAATTGAAACGTACCCGTTTTTTAATGTTGGTGCCTTTTTTGGGGAGTAGGGGAAGAAATTGATTTTATTGATGATGGCATGCAAATTTATTCGATGATAAAGTGTGGGGCTCTGAATTTTTCAAAACTCAGTAGAGGGAAAAAAGAGAGATTTAACATGTGACTGTGTTGTTGCTATTCAGGCAACCTGTCCAACCTTCGTCTTCAAGTTTAGTTTCTCTGTGTCTGTGTGTGTTAGAGAGAGAAAGAAGAGAGAGAAAGAGGAGAGAGAGAAAGAAGAGAGAGAGAAATGGAGTTTTCAAGAAGTGAATCTGCAAACCTTTTTCATGGAAAAGGAAAAGCTTGAGAGTGAGAGGAGGAGAAGAGAGAGAAACAAATGGGGGAGTTGAGTTCTGTGATTTAAAGAGGGAGGTGATGACGTGGCTTACACGTCAGCATGCAGCCTAGTGTATGGTTATCACCGCCAACTCCGATTTTGCATTTGCGAATAATCTGTTATTATTACTTTATCATTATTCATTTATTATTATTATTTATTATTTAAAAAGAAAATATTATATTTCATCAACGATTATAGGCATATGTCCATTTATATATATTATTTTATATTGATTATTACAAGTCACAATCATATTTTTGAGTTGCCACTTGATTTTCTTTTATTTTTCAGAGGTGAGATAAAGTTAATTCGATGGCTTCTTCTTCTTAACAATATTTCTTTGGCTCAAATTAAGCATCGT